TTTTTTTTTCTACATTACACAGATGAAGAAACAGAGCTAGAAAAACTGAGCAACTAACCCAAGGTCCAAAAATTAATACGTGACAGAACCAAAATTTTAACCCACGTTGTTATTATTGTTTTAATTCTGTTGTTCCCATTGGTTTCATAGTTTAGCATACAAATTCTCCATTTCACTAACCTCATTTCACAAAGTACCAGTTGGTAAACGATACTTTACTAATAATAATCACACAATTCACAATAGCTGGCACATTTGTAAAATGTGCAGGATTTTGAGTATTTACTCTATCAGCATCTTTATCCCTCAATTTTCATTTATTGCCCAATTTCTCATCCCTGCTTCTAACATCTTTCTGTCTTGTCCTACAGTCAGGTGAATGCCCTTCTGAACACAACCAGCTGCGTCCCTACCACTTCTCACAGATGCAATTTTTATTGTTTGCGTTTACCTTTGTTTTTTTTTTTTTTTGGCTTTTAGCTTATTGCTTTCTTTATTTTAATTCAGAATACTAGGAAGTGCACATATTTTGTTTCAAAACTTTGTTTTCTGTACAGATTGGATTAAAGTTATAAATGTTCCCTTCTTCCAGATATTGTTCACTGTACCCAGGAGATGTGAATTCATCCACCCCCTCTCCTCCCTTCCCCTAGCTTGGTTTTCATTGAGATTTACGTCCATTTGTGCACTTAGGTGTTGACCGATTAGTTCCAACTTCGTACTGAGTACAATGTGTTAGTTTATCTGTTCTTGTGATATTTCACTTATAAGAATCAGTGCTAGTTCCATCCAGGTTGCCACAAAAGATACTAGATTACCACGTCTGTGGCTGAGTAGTATTCCATGGTATGCAAAGTCACATTTTATTAATCCATTCATATACTGATGGGCACTTAGGTTCTTTGCATGTCTTTGTGATTATAAACTGTGCTGCCATAAACATTTGAGTGCAGGTGACCTTTTTATAAAATGATCTTTTTTCCTTTGGATTTATACCTGGCAGTGGGATTGCTGGGTCAAATGGTATGGTAGGTGTATTTTAAGCTTTTTGAGGTATGTCCATACAGTTTTCTATAGAGGTTGTACTAGTTTGCAGTCCCACCAGTGTATAAGAGTTCCTTTCTCTCCATATCCCCACTAGTATCTGTTTTGGGACTTTTTAATACAAGCCATTCTCATTGGAATTTGCTGATATCTCATTGTGATTTTGATTTGCATTTTCCTAATGATTAGAGACATTGAGCATTTCTTCATTAGTTCGTTGTCCATTAGTATATCTTCATTTGCAAAGTTTCTCTTCATGTCTTTTGCTCACTTTTTAATGGGATTGTTTGGTTGCTTCTTGCTGATTTGCTTGAGTTCTTCGTAGATTCTGGTTGTCAGTCCTTTTTCAGATGTATAGCATGTGAATATTTTCTTCCATTCTGTGGGTTGTCTATTTGCTCCTTTTGTGTTTGTTTATTTTGTGTGTGTGTTTGTGTGTGTGTGTTTTGAGATAAAGTCTTACTATGTTGCCCTTGGTAGAGTGCCATGGCCTCACAGCTCACAGCAACCTCCAGCTCTTGGGCTTAAGCAACTCTCTTGCCTCAGCCTCCCAAGTAGCTGGGACTACAAGTACCTGCCACAACGCCTATCTATTTTTTTGTTGCAGTTGTCATTATTGTTTAGCTGGCCCAGGCCAGGTTCGAACCCACCAGCCTGGGTGTATGTGGCCAGCACTGTAACCACCGTGCTACAAGCACCAAGCCTATTTGCTCTTTGATTGTGTCCTTAGGTGGGCAGAAACTTTTTAAAATTTCATTGCATCCCATTTATTGATTTTTGTTGTTGCTGTGATTGCTTTGGGGGCTTTTAAAGAAAATTTAAGCTTTTCTTAGGAAATGAGTATAAGTTTGCACCAAAGGAATTCAACACATTATGTAGAAACCTAGAAAGGAGAGAGCTCAGAAAACAAGGTGAAGAGCATTTGTGTGATAGTAAAAGGAGAAAAATTAATGGGAAGAATACAGCAGATCCCTATTCCATCCCCTCATTTCTACAACTCAGAGAAAATACAGATGAGGCTTTTCTATAGCAAGACACAGAGTAAGTTCACAGGATGTGCTGGCAAGGACACAAAACTCTGGCCACCTTGAAAGTAACTGATGGCCTTACTTGATTCAAGGCAACCCAGACAGTAAATTGGTATTTTGCTGGTGATTTTGATCTCAGGAAAAGATCAGGATATCATATCCAAATATAGCCACTAAAGAGGAATTAATGAGTATGTTAGAAGCCATCAGGATCTGGGGAACTAATATTTGTGCCACCTTAGTATTCATATATGTCAAGGAAAAAAATCCTATGCTTGCTCAGCCATGTGTGTTAGACTTTAGAAAAATAAATCCAAATGTGTTCACAGAAAAGATTCTCTAATAAAAGGCAGCTTAGCAAGAATGGGAGGGTGCCAGGACAACCCATAATACTACTTGGCTACTCTGAATATCGAAGCCTGAGCTTTGGAATAGGTGATATGAACCCAAGAAAGTTATTGAAATGCTCTCAGCCTCAGCTTCCTCATCTCCAGAAGGAGAATGACATGACTCATCTGACTGGTTTGTGTTAAATGAAACTATGCATGTAAGGTATTTGGCATAATGCCTCATGCTTGATAAAAGTTGATTCAATTATAGCTGTTATCATTCATAACACCAGCATCCATAGCCTCGGAAAGGTAATTATTACTTTCTGCTTGTTTGCTGGCCACTTAGAAATTGTGGCTGTATTTGGGGGTCATCTGATTTGGTAAAGAAGAGTGTATAATGGAGAAGCATGTTACGCTATAATGAAGGTGGCCAGAACATGAAGTCAGACGACCGGAGGTCAACGCTCACTCTGTAAATTGTGACACATTTGCATGTTGAGCCCCTGTGTGCCAGCCCTGGCCCCCAGGCTGCACCTGCCCAAAGGGGGTGACCCTTTATTATTTACATAGTAGCTCTTTTCCAGGTTTTCATCCTCCCCATTAAAGGCAGATAATGATACCAAAGGAATGTTATCACATGGGGTCATTATTTCATTCATTCATGCAGTCAGTTGTTTTAAAACTCATCTTAGGGGCCCAGAATAATGGGAATGACACAGGTCTGCTTTGTATCTGGGCTCTACACTTACCAGGAGTGTCTTAAAGAGGTTGCTTAAGCTCTTGAATGAAGTCTCAGCTCTCTTATTTGGAAAATGGGGATAATAATACCTTCATCTGTAAAAAGTCAGTGGAGACAAAATGAAGTGCTCATGGTGGTGCTTGGCACAGACTAAATACTCAAAAATGCGACAGCTCTTGTATTTTACTATGACTTCATTCTTCTGAGAAGGATTTTAATTTCCTCCCGGAACCTTTACTAAGAAAAAAAATAAATCTATAAAACAAAATGGCACAGAAACTCCTGTAATTCCACACATGAAATCCATGACTGTATTCAAACTATATAATTTAAAACTAATGACACTGCCCTAATAACTAGACTTGAGGCCCAGGTCTTTTCAATTACAAGAGCTTGCCCAAGAAAAGCCAGAAACAACCTGTACGTTCAAAAAAAGGACCTGATTATGCAGGTTATCATATGATTACAGTATGACTAACTCTCAATTATTAAAATGAGGACCACAAAGCATTTTGAGGATGGAAAAGTCATATGAATAAATAGCTGGACACAAGTTTTGCAGAAAACATTAGCACATTCCGAACTCCACAAAAAAGAGTACAGGCAAGGATATGGTGTATTCACAGAGGCAGCATGTTCAGAACAAAGAAATCATATTTATTATCCTGTGGGCTGACCAGAGAATCCCTTATCTCTGAGCATTGCACTCTAGCAGAGACACTGAGAAAATCAAGTTCTTTCACTTGAGAG